GCCCCCTATTATTATTATCAGATTCAACAGTAATTTAATCCTGTGACGAGTATAGCTCGTCATCTGGTTTCATGACAATAACGAGCTACGCTCCTCATATGACTAAAGTTACTCTTGAGTTTCATAATATGGAGGCTGCCATATTCGTCAAATCGAAGTTTCGGAGCAAGAAATTATATAATAATGTTGTAGTAATACTCAGATTTCCAGTTTAGCAAGGAAATGATTTTACATTCTAACGTAGCACATAATTCAACTCGAGAAAATATTTTTTCCCCCCCCCCTCGGATCAAATTTTATTTCTTTTCATTTTGAAATGTGGCGATACTGATGTTTCAAAGAATAAACTGCAGTGGCAATTTTGCAATGTATAATTAGATATCCCGGATAATGGAAATTCAAAATACAATAAATATTGCTTAAAACTATGATTGGCTATCCTAATAATTTCCCGTAGTAATGCAAAAGGGAAAGATTTTTTTAGTTTTATTTCTAAACCAAAGATTGAAATTAGCCCCAGTGTTAATGATAGTATAAATTTTATTAACAGCATGATATAAATTTTACAAGATACACATTTTTATTAGCATATGTGCTAACTGACGTGTACAAAATCTGACCCTGCTGTTAGCATTTGTACTAAAATTGATTACATTACTGCATTTAAAGGATACAGAGTATGAAATATCTTTTCTACATATTTGAACTATTTGCATTAAAAATTAAAAATTGCTCTTCCAGGTATTAAATACTATTAAAATTTAATACCTTAATTTTGAAAACATGTCTTTCTATATATTTTTTAAAACCAATTTTGTCACTCTTCTGGTTTCTTAAATTATTTAGTCCCATATAAAGTAGCATTTTTTTCCCAGATATTTCAAGTTAAAAGCCAGAAGTAAATTTACTTCAAAAATTATATTATAGTCTTCACCAACATCTAATTTCTGTTTTTGATGTCAGCAAATTTAAGGGTAGTCTATTTGGTTTAGTCTGGATTGTTAAACAGATGTAAATTGTTTAACAATCCAGACTAAACAAAATGGACAATTTTGACAATTGATTGACAAATTGCAAACCAAACAACAATTTGATTCATTATTTCAAAGCTTGAAATCTAGAAATACGGTATACTGTTAATTAATCTAACACATTTCAGTAAGATTTGGATTAGTAGATGTAGCAGTAAAAATTGCTGTTAAAGAAAGGTATGGGCGTCATGAGGAAATTCTACTTCTTTCTTAATTCTGTTGCTTTAATACATATCTAATTAGTTGCTTAATAATGACCTTTAGAATTGCTTTTGGAGAGGATTTTTTCTAATGCTAAAAAGATTCAAATTTATTTGTTAGAAAATGAAAAACTATGATCAGAATAAAATATTAAACTATAATGGAAGATTAATAAGAATAAAATGAATAAAATATTAAGACTCTCGGAGAATTCCCTTAAATATTCTCAGATATATTATATTTTTAAAACTATTGAGCTACTATTTCCATGCATTTCATTAATCGATTTAGGAATAGATTAAAGATTCTATTAAAAATATACAATAAAAAATTTCATTTAATCTGCACATGATCATATGAGTGAAGTTACACACACTGAACGGAACTAAATGGGAAATAAAATTAAAATTTGTACTTGAAATAAACAAAATAGCAAATTAAGTAAGTTAATTTATTTGAATTTAGCAAAGCACAAGATGGCTGTCTGCCAAAGGCAAGTTATGCTGTCGTGGAGGATTTACATTGGAAACTTCCTCATATTCATATTACACATCCTCGACATTACCCATAGCAGCCTCTTTGGCCAGCATGTCTACCCTCTCGTTACCTAAAACACCAATATGGGCTTTCACCCAGTTCATTTTTACTTCATGTAGTTTCTCAACTTTTACAAGTTGATCTTTTATATACTAGACCAAAATATTCCCAGAAAGCCTTCCACGAACGCATCCCTCTCATTAGCAGATAACCCTCGAGTTACTTTGTGTCAATCGATTAATATATATATACATTTACAAGGCAGCAGCTGTCGCCAAATATAAATGTTGGCACAAAATTTGGATTGAAATAATTATGAGAATGCTGAAGATAGACTCAAGATGCAACGTTGCTCAGAAATATAGTCGTACCTGGATATTAGGTGAAAAAATTTCAGAATTTTGTGAAATGAAAAATTACATTCAACGAATTTTGTGTTTTTGCAGTCTTTTTTCTCTTGGCATGGTCGTCCATTTCGAACTTGCATTTAGCACTTTAAAATAAAGTAAATTTTTCCTTTTCTTGTAAGTTTCAGATACAGAGTCTTTATTATTTGGCAAAGTCGGATCGTAAAATCCCTCTTTAGTCATCCTTAAAATTTCGTACGAACCACGAGTCTGGATCGAAACGTTAATGAGTCATAATGTTTTGGGTGGTTAATCGTGTAAGGCTGCTGTAAATAACGTGCTTGCCTATATTTTGGCTGCTGCTCATTTAATGGTTAGGTTATTAGAGCACGGCAAAGCACGCAAGAGTTGTTTGCCCAAGACCAGGGATGCTTTCGTAAAGAACTTTTTAAGGTAGACTGACTGATTAATAGTAATAAAAGTTTGTTTAAATTTTTGGGAAAGGAGCTTTTTCTTTTACACAGCTTTTATAAAACCAGTTTTTTTGATTCAGTTCTTCATAGAAAGGGTAGTTTGTGTTAGTTTTCTCGAGAAAAGAATTCTTTCTTTAACAGTGCTCTCATAAATCACTTTCTGATCCACTCGGTAATCTTAACTTTCTTCAGCCTCCTCTGGGAAGGAACGTTATCTGGAATAACATTCTTATAATCCGAGCCTTCGATTCCTCTTGTCTTAGGAATTGCACTTCGGCTCATAAATTGGGTTTTCAACCCACGCCATATCATGGATCTGCTTTTGGTTTCTGAAGAAATAGATTTTATGCACATTAGCTCCGTTATGAATCTGCTTTCCAGTACGTTCTAAATTAGAAATAATCCTTTGTTTTGAGATTCTTGGTAAACGAACTTTACGTGAAGTAATGTATTTACAAACTGGGTTTTCGTCCCTTTCCCTGATGTAAACAGTATTATGGGAAAGCTTTTTTGGGAAACGTATATCTTCTATTATTTCATACTCGTAAGGTGGATTTTTCAACTGTTTCATCTCAGAAACAGTCCCTTGTTTCGAATTTTTCGGCAAAAGAATTTTGTTTTCTATCGCCTCCTCGTAAATTGGGTTTCTGATCCATTTCATTGGATAATCAGGCATCCGGCTGGGATTTCTGGTAAAAAGAAATTTATCTGCCATATTTTTCTCATAAATATGCTCAATTATCTCTTCCAAAAAAATGTGTATTTTCTTAAAAAAAATTATTCAGGGGCTTCAATAAACGTTTCCCATTTAATCTAAACACCTTCATAGAGATTTCTTGGAAAGATATTTTCTGCGTGATTCTAACTCTTCAAACGTTTCATAAAAATCGGTTATAGTTTTTCAAATTTCCTTCAGCCACAACAGGTACTTTATGTACTTCCCGAATGTGTTCATATAAAACCTTTTCTTTTTGTACTTTTTGCAGCAGTACATACATTCAAATACTGCTATCTTTCATATTCCATTGTTATAACAAAAAAGTTATGTACTACAATAGAAAATAAAAAACTTATTTTGTCATCAGAAATATTAAAAAATGAATAAAAACTGTAGCATATATTAAAATATTTAATGTTTGACACAAAAAAAAAAATGGTAGCATATGATATTAAAATATTTAATGTTTGACACAAAAAATGGTATAAAATATTTAATGTTGACTGAAATAACACGGTTGCTATTCTGAAACATTTTTCATTTTCCTTTGTTTAACAAAGGAAATTTCCGCTAAATTTATCTGTTCTCAAAAAAGCAATATATGAAAAAATAAATAGATTACAAAAGTTTGTCTCAAAATAATAACAATTTTGTAATCACGTGTTAATTAAGCAAACATATCTAAAACCAAAATATTTTAAAAAAATTTAGCTGAAAAAATACATAGAGCAGAAACAACCAATGTATTGTGGAATCTAAAAACAGGCGTCTCAAGACCAGAAGAGGAAAATGCTCATCTTCACTGTCATTGGCTGTATACCACGTGACACTCCCGAAACGTTTTAGGCGCTATTTCTGGTTTTTCGCCAACTGCAATTGTGTTTCTCGCCAATTGTTAGCGGTTTGTTTAAATCAAGGATATTGCTTTTTTTTTTTTTATTATCAAAATGGATATGTTTAAATGTAAATCTTGCAGTTCATCTTTTTATGCGAAAAGATATTTGAAAGCGCATGCACAAAGAATACGCGAATTTAAACAATAAAGTTGCACCATTTTCGTGTACGTATTGTACGAAGCAATTTTGTACAAAAAATTCTTTAGCTAAACATAGGATACGTATCCATAATATAAGGCGAAGTAATATTAAATGCGGCGAAGACGAATGCCGGGAACTATTTCCTACTACAGGAGATTTAAGATCTCACTTAGAGACTTGCCATAATTACAGCAATATGACCAAATGTATAAAACTGGAGTTTTAAAAAAAAAGCAAGGTATGCAATGAACTTTTTATTATTTTGTTTTCCTAGTTCAATTATAAATAAGCAAATATATTGCGTAACTTCTGTATATAGCCCTTAATCTTTTTACATTAAAATTAAATAACTTATTTGTAAAATTAAATAGCTTCATTAAAGCTAGTTCAGCAATACATTTATTTGAAGAAACACCATATATATGGTATTATTAATTTAAGCTGTTTCAGCACACAAATATGCATTTATTTGAAAAAATTAACAAATTAATTACTTTGAAACATATAATTTCAGAACACTATAGTTTTAACAATTAAGATTATTTTTCTGTGTGGCTGCAATCTGCATATTTTTATTTACTAATCAGATGCCCTTATTATGAAAATTTATACATTTATTTATTTATTAGACTTTTATTCATGGCTATCGGATGAAGAAAGAAAAAAACAAAGACTCATTTTGTGGTAGATTCATCTGGGCAGAAACATAAAAATTACACCAGGACGCTGTTTTGCTGTAATAGAAGTGGGACATACAAAGCAAAAGGCAAAGGTGAAAGACAGCTAAAAGCACAAGGGACTTCCAAAACAGGTTTCTCTTGCACAGCTACTGTCATACTAAAAGATTTTGGCAATCGTTTTGAAGCTGTATATTTTAAAGAACATTACAAGCATGAAAAATCCCTTTGTCATCTCCCTATTCCTAAACAAGAAAAGCAAAGTATAGCAGGCAAGTTATGTGTTAGACCGTATTTTGATTGTATTAATTTCTCTTAAATAAAACTATAATTACTTATGCAGTTGGAGCCTTTCTAGCTGTCATTAATATACAGGTGGTTCAAAATTCCAAAAGTGAATGAATTTTAATATTAATGAAGTTGATAACGAAAATCATTCATGGAAAATTCAGATTGGGAGAGAAACACGCGAGTGTGAAATTTAAAATTAGGCTTAACAGCAGACTTAATTTGCATAGATTTTAAATAAAATTATCAGCTTTGAGGGATCAGACACAGGTATCTCTTCAGGAGTACAAAACTTTTGCAAAATGGAAGGAGTGGGTAGAGCAAAGTAAAGATGAACGTAACACTGTCTGCTGTGGAAAATAATAATGAAGCATGTAAAACCAAGATATTATAATTCTAAATGTGTTATGAAGGAATTAACACATTTATAATTCTAATATCTTAATTTGTTATTTCATTACTGTTTTATCTGAATGGTTGCAATGTTTGTGTTTCTCTGTCAACTGCTTTTAATATAAATTTGGATAATTCTCTTGAAGAAGAGGGACCTTGAAAATGCTGAAGTTTGATTCAAAATCTAGATGAAACTAAGATTAATATTTTGCCTGATTTAAAATTATGGTAAATTGTTTTCTCTTGTATTTATGAACAGCATATTAAATATTTATATAAAAGTGATTAATTATCTATATTTAAGTAACCTGAGATTTGTAACAATTGTTTTTCTTATTATTAAATTAAGTATCATATTTCTTACTAATCTACTGTATAGGCATATTTGTAAATTTAAAGATACTTTTTTTATTCCATTAGTTTTTAGTATATAAGATACATCTGTCATGATATTTACATTTTTCAGTAACTATATTATACTAATGAGCTAATAGTCAGTTTAGAGTTTTCGCCAGTAATCTATTGTCACATTTGTGAACAGGTGGTGTGGCTACACCGGACGTTGCCAGAGAACACATACAATTTCGCGATCAGAGCAGACACTTCGAAACTCATCGTGGTTAGAGCTGCACATCTTTTCCCCATCTTAGAACAGATAAAGGGTGCAGATAAATAAGTAAATAAATACTTTTAAAAATTGCAAATATAATTTAAAACAGTATTTTAAGTGGCAAATCTCTTTTACCGACATTTTCTGTTTTTGCACTCGATTATCGAATTACAATGATAAATACATTTTTGCCAATCATATTTAATTATTTATATGTATTTAAATTGTTATGATATTATAGTGCGAATGCATTTTAAACATAGCGAAATGTAATAAAAATAAAAACTTTTGTGTAAATATAAAATGTAATAAAAATAAAAATTTCAGGGATTTTGTGGAAAACTGTATTTTAGAGTCAAATATTAGAACAGGTGCAGTTACCATAAAATTAATTAGCTGCATTAATGTAAGTAAAAATAAATATTAGAAGTAAAATATACAAAACAGATACTAGTAAATAAATACTAGCTATCCTTTATTATAAAGGCATAAATATAATTTACAATTTAGTCCAACCTAGTTACAAAACTTAAAGATTTTAGACATTTTTCTAAATTGTTTGATGTTTCGAATTCTTTTAGGATGTTTTTTAATTCTTTCATCCAATTTTACATATGCTTTTTTCCTTGTTATTTCAGGGTCGCCTAATTCTCTGGCTTTCAAATTAAAAGACACTTTTTTGTGTTTCTTCTTTTAGTATTTTAACTAATAAGTGCACAATAGGCTGGTTTCTGCCAGTGATTGTGTTTAATTTAGAATTCCACCTTTCAACAGAATTATTTGTCTTATGATGCTGTCCATGTACATTCCGTATTTTAATGGGCATATTTTGATTTTCCATTCACTACTCGACAAAAGAATCAATGAATGTGGTAAGTTTGTCAATGCTAAAAGCTTTTTCCCTATACAATGCTCTAAGTATCATCTACATGTTCTATTGGCAAGTAAGCTAAGGCAGAAATCATTCTACAGACATGTCTTATATCTTCGTTCTCTTTATATTCCTTTATTACACCCATTTCTCCCCATTCATCTTATGTCACAAACATTGATTAAAATGAAAGTTACAACCGAATATAGTCGAACTGGGAAATTCTAACATACAGCTATTGATGGCTGCGGCTTCAAAATCAAATTTTATAATGTCCGGCTTCTACTTAGGGTACCAACATTTCACTTCCTGAAACATTGCAACGTACGTTGCTTGTGTCTTATAAGGCAGAAATGCAAAAAGCGCTGGATAAATATTGGTCTCAGTTGCTGTACTCCTTAAGTTGATGTTCAAATTTCAAAACACTTACTATTTTATATATTGTTGAAATAATTGATTAGGGCAATGATTGTATTCGTGTTCATTAAAAAAAAATTTCAGTTGCAAGCTGATATTCTAATATCATACCATTGTTTGCATGGAATTAATATTTAGTAGGTATAAAATAATATAAAATTTTCTTTTCAAGTTCATATAAATGAAAAACTTTATTTTGCTTATAGTATATATAATTTTTATCTCCTAATTATCTTTTTAAATTATTTCAGGTAAATTATTGCAGGGGGTGGAAGAGAAACGAATTTTGCAAGATGCAAGATTCTCTTCGAGAGATGATATTGAAACAAAACAGTTAATAACGAGAAAAGACCTGCATAACATTAAGAGGGATTTTGGTCTGAGCATTAATTCTAAAGGATTAATTTTAACAGATGATGAGACAAGTGTTTGGTCCTGGGTTAATACGATGTCGCAAATGGAATTCAACCCCGTTCTGATGTATAAACGTCAAGGAGAAAAATATGCAAATGTAAACGAAAATGATTTCATGTTAGCAATAATGACAGAAGAATTAAAAAAAAAAAAAAATGTTGATAGAATTTGGTAATGAGAATCTGTATTGATTCTACACATGGAATTTCTGCTTATGGATTTGAACTTGTAACATTGCTTGTCGTTGATAAGTATGAAGAGGGCATACCAGTTGCTTTCTTAATATCATCAACAGTATCAGAAAAAATTTTGGTAAACTTTTTTAACTGCATCAAAAAGATCATTGATATCAAGCCAAAGGTTTTCATGAGCGATGATGCTCCCATGTTCTATAATGCATGGGAGCATACATTTGGTTCTTGCCAAAAATTATTATGTGCTTGGCATGTGGACAGAGCATGGAAAGGTCATTTGAATTCTGTGCCAAAACATAAAAGACAAGCAGTGTACAAAACTTTAAAAACTTTAATGTATGAATTAGATGAAGAAATGTTCAACAAAATGTTAGAAACATTTTCTGAGCAACTATGTGAAGATGAAGAGACACGCGAGAATTCCATAAATATTTTATGACATACTATTTTGAAAGAGCCAAAATGTGGGCATACTGTTTCAGAAAAGGGGCTAAAATCAACACCAATATGTATGTTGAAACATTTCATCGGAAATTAAAATATATTTATTTAGATGGGAAGAAAACCAAACGGGTTGATAAATGTATCATCGAGTTAATTAATCTTGTCAAGTGATCAAAAGTTTGACACTTACATAAAATATCAGAAAGGAAAAATAACGAAGAAGACAACAAAAACATTTCAACGTCATAAAGCTGCTGAGCTTTTAAATGCTAACTGTGTAAAAAAAGATGATGTATGGGAAGTTTCATCAGAACTGGGAGAAAATTTTTATAAAATTATCAGAGATCATGTTTGTAATGATTTATGCCTCATAACTTGTAGACTTTGTTCATGCTGTTTAAAAGCTTATAAATGTACATGCCATGATTATTCTATTTTAAATAATATGTGTAAACATATACATTTTGTAATCATGTCTGAAAAAAAGACAGAACCTTATATAGGCCCTCTAAACAGAATACCTACTAGGAATAATTATGAATCTTTAACAGTAAGTAAAACATGCATTAGTGAACTTATTCAATCTTCATTTTCAATTTCTGAAAAATTAAACTGTATTGAAAATATGGACATTAATCTTGCTACACAAATAAAAAAGCATTTAAATGCAATTGATTAATTATTAGAAGTTCCTTTGTTAGATAAAGCACATGCTTCAATTTCAAAAGAACCAACAAATAAAAAAAATTGTTCCCCAAAAGAGATTTTATTCAGTTAAAAAACGAAAAGTGTGTAAAAAAGTACAGTTTGGAAATCCTTCAACAGCAGAAAAAAATAATACCAATCAATTAATTGTTAATTCAGATCCCAGCTATGATCATTTGTATTGCAGTGAATTGAATGCCAAAAGTTTAAAAGAAAAGTCACTAAATAATGTTTAAGAAAATTATGCTATTTAAGTATTTTTAAAATTTGTGTATTTATAACAAATTATTTGATTTTTATGTAACTAATCTGGATGTCTTATTTTAATTTAATAATGTATCTTATTATAAATTTAACAAAATTGTTATAACTGTTCTACTGTATATCTAAGCTATGCATTTATCCTATACTTAATCTACACATATATTAAATCTATTTATAAAGTCATGTTTTATAATAACTATTCTACTGTAAATGTGAATTACACATTTATCATATACGTAATCATTGCCCAGTTAGGTGATAGGATTGTTGATGTTTCTTTAAATAATGAGTCCAGATAAGCAGGATGGTATGAACAATTTATTAGGAGAATAGGCACAATACTATTACACACAGAACAAAAATGGCTGAAAACAAATCAAGGATCACTTCTCAGATTCCTAAATCACTTTCTCAGGATAAACACTAACTTGTAATTCAGCTAACTGCAAAGTCTGGCACCTGATTCACAAGCAAACTCTCTTGTTCTCAGACCCATATTTATACTCTGCAGGATGCGTTATGCAAGATAAATGCAAAGTTCGTTATGACACGAAAACCTATTTTCGAAGCCCTGTGACCAATTCATCCAGAAGTTTCTAGAGCCATGCTGCAACAGGCATCTCAAGATAGATAACGCAAAATGCTTATCTTTACTGTCATTGACTATATCACATGACAGTCCTGAAACGTTTTTGGCTCTATTTCTAGTTCTCCTCCAACTGCGTATCTCGTCAATTGTTAGCAGTTTGTTTAAATCAAAGAGCTTGCACTTCGCTTTCTTTCTTTTTGCTTTTATTACTGAGATGGATATTTAAACATATCCATATTATATAGATATTTAAACATAATGCAAATCTTGCAGTGCATCTTTCTATGTGATGAGATATTTAAAAGCACATAAACGTATGCACAAAGATACCGTCGCTAAAGTTACGCCATATTCGTCATCAATTTTAAGCAAACACAGAATATGCATTCATAACGTAATGTGAAAAAAATATTAAATTCAGTGAAGTAGGATGTCTAGAACTGTTTCTCACCACAGGAGATTTAAGATCTCACTTTTAAGTTAGTTTTAAGTCACTTTAAGATTAAGATTAAAGACTCGCCATAATTATAATAACATGATAAAATGTATGAAACTTAGAGTTCCATAAAAAACAAGGTTTGTAATGATCTTTTCCTTATTTTGTTCTTTAGTTCAATTATAAATAAGAAAAATATATTACGTGACTTCTGTATATAGCCCTTAAACTTTTTATATTCAAATTAAATAGCTTAATGAATACGGTGTTATTCATTAAAGCTATTTCAGCACACACATTTATTTGAAAAACACACACACATTTATTTGAAAAAAACATATATATGGTATTATTAATTTAAGCTGTTTCAGCACACAAATATACATTTATTTGAAAAAATTAGCATACATTAATTACTATAAAACTTATAATTTCAGAACACTATAGTTTTAACAACTAAGATTATTTTTCTGTGTGGGTGCAATTTGTATATTTTTATTCTAATGTCTTATAAAAATTTAACAAAAAATGCAACTTATTTTTTTTTATCTACTGCCATGTATAATTTGTTGTACTACTTGTTCCTTAATATGGAAAAGTTGTTATAAAAGTGCACAGTATGGCTCATAATTTGATTTCAATGTCTCACTTTAACTTTTTTTTTTTTTTTTTTTTTTGTCTTTTGACCAGGAGAATTTATTATGAATTATTATTATTGTTTTACATATATTATTATTAGTTACTGATGAAGATCAATAATGGTTTTGGTTTGGTTTATTTAATTACGGCTATCTGCCTAAGGGAAGGGATGCCTTCGTGGAGGACTTTCTAAGGGAAACTGGCTCGTATACACGTTACACATGGGGAAAAACCATGAAAACGCCCATGCAGCCAGCCCGTTCACAGGATTCGAACCTCGGACCGAACTACCAGTGTTCAGTGTCTTAACCGCTCGGCCTCTGGTGGGCTATATGAAATAACGAAAATTTGCTATCTTTGCTTTATTTCCAGCATAAATGCAAGTGTTTATTTTAGGAAAATAAAGCTGAATAAAATTTGTATATTTTTGCTAATTTTTTGAAAGATAATTTTAACTATTTCATTTGTATTATGGAGAATAACGAGAATGAAACAAGTAAAAACCTTTCATCAGATAACAAATAAGCGAAGATGCCAAATTTGAATATTAAGCGATAAAAAATTTAGAGAGCACACTACTCATACTTATCTCAGATGTTAAAAATCTGTTGGTTTATATAAAAAGTTGACTAATTCTTAATACAGAATACTATAACAATGCAAGCACTGACATAGTTTTCATAACCCTACATTTAAAAAACATTATAATTTAAAGATATACAGGGTTTGTGGGACCCAAAAAATCCCTGAAACTTTACGGACTTACTAACCGACATTTTGGAGTTTCGAGAAGGGGGGGGAGAGAAATGAAAAATTACAATTATGAAGTATTGAATGACCTAATTAAAAGTTCAATGAATTTTTTTTTGCAAATTAATAACCATAAATTTTCAAACATATAAACTACTACATTTTATGTAAATATTTTTTAAACTACCTGAATTAATTCTTTTAAAAAAAAATTATCTAATTTCTGCTGCTTTTTTTATTTTCTGATGTTTGTGGGCTTGTCTTTCTTTTGTGGTGAACTTCATAATTGCAGGAAGGTTGACTTTTATTTTTCCTCATTTACAGTTGAAGAAATTTCCTCGAGAACTGCACATGCAGAGGTAGAAGCAGTTTGCTTTTCTGCTAATGTAGAAGGTTTTTCAGAGACTTTTATAGGTGACTCATCTGAAATACATGTTTTTAAGTCCTCTTGATATGTTTTCCAACTTCTGTTCATATTCAGTAAGAGATCTTTGTGAATTGGATCAGTCATTGGATTTTTTGAGCCATATTTTTCACATGAGGTTTCTTTAGAAGCCATTAAATCATATTTAATAGTCTGCACTGCATCTAGGGAATCAATCTTAAGAGAGGTTCTATAGTCAGTGACAAGTGTATCCATTAAGTTGAATGCACTTTCCACTAATGGGCCATGGAAGCAGCTAAGCCAGGCTTTGACCAATTTAGCCAATGTAGGATACTTATAATCATTTGTGAAATCATCTTTTAAATTAAAAACTTTAGACCAATATTTATCAATTGTATACTTGACTTGATTTCCACTTTCATCAGATGTGTAGAGCATTTCTTTGGTGATATCAATATCACTCTTTACCTTATTTCAGCTCTTCATAACCTTATTTCAGCTTCTACTTTTGACTTTTCATTATCACTAAAAATATGGGACATAAAAGATGATAATTTTTCAAAAGCTAATATTGTACTGGTTGGTTTTACCTCTTAGCTCTGGATCTAATGCTGTAAAACTAATTAGATATGAATTTTTAAGGGGTAATTTCTGTTTCATATGCTGTGCTGTATTAGTATACGCTTTCATCAGAGAAATTTGGAATTCTTTTGCTATTGGATGATTTTGAA